TTTATTAATGTCCTATATAATTTTTTTACATTTAAAACATATTGCTATTACAGTTTTACATATTGCACCTAAATTACTGTAAAATCGGCACTAAAATGGCCGCCATTTTTAAATGAGCGGCCATTTTGAAAATCGGCTTTCGAGCAGAACTTCTACCCCCATAGGGTATATGTGTACAAAATATGAATAAAATCGGGCCAACGGTATTTGAGTTATTGCCCGGACGGACGGACGGACGTACGGACGGACGGACGGACGGACGGACGGACGGACGGACGGACGGACGGACGTACGGACGGACGGACGTACGTACGGACGGACGGACGGAGGCGTTCCCTATATCCCTCCGAACTTCGTTCGATGGGATAATAAATCTTCCAGATTTGTTGAATTTCCTAGCAGAAATTGCCTGCTCCCCCCCTCCGTCCCATATTCACGATCACCGGGCGTGATTAATATAAATCTAGCTAGTACCACCACCAGCAGTAATACAGTTTTTTCCTCCCAGGAGAGTCCTCGGAAAAGACAGAAAAAGGAATAAAGATGGAGAACATGATCTGACTCTGTAAATAGATACTGTATTAAAGTTGAATTCTGGATGTTATTTTTGACATTTTCATTTTGGCATTTATAGTTCACATTGTTCTTGTCGAGATATAGGCCTCCCAAGGTCGGCCTATATCGACGGAACTCGGGCATATTTCACGTCATAGTGACATAACCTCTAAGTATTTGTTATTAGGGTTGTGTGACCAAGTACATATATGAAGGCTATGCTCTTTCAAAGAACCAGAACAATGCCAAAGCGTAGCGAATCCCATCGAACAGAAATGGCTGGCATTTTTACAAACAAAATATATAGCAAATATCAGAAAATAACACTCATAAGAAAGGCTACCATTTTCAAAATGGTTGCTCACTAGCAGTACTATACGCAGTACTATATGCAGTACCTAAATAACTGTAAAATTGGCACTCAAATGGCCGCCATTTTTAAATGAGCGACCATTTTGAAAATCCGTTTTAAGCAGAACTTCTACCCCCATTGGGTATATGTATACAAAAAATGAACAAAATCGGGCCAACGGTATTTGAGTTTTTGACTGGACGAATGGACGGACGTATGTACAGACGTACGTACGGACAGAGGGACGGAAGGACTGACGGAGGCGTTCCCTATATCCCTCCGAACTTCGTTCAATGGGATAATAAAACCTGTTGAAATGGAATACAGGACACATGAATGGTGTTTAAACTTCTCCTTTAATCGGTACATTAAATATTCCATATATACAAAATAAAATAAACAATTTACCAATCCTTTACAATATCTATTTTATCGATTATAAGTATCTATACAATTATATTCGCTAAATAGTTTCACTTGTTCTTTGTGTTGCCATTTACATTTGATAATGTAACAAATTATCATACTCCATAATTCACATGTCATTGTTATGAAAGAGGGAGTTATTTAAATATTCAGAATAAAACTACAGACAAGCAATTTGTAGATTTAGGCTTAGTTCCAACAAGTTAAATATAGAACTTGGTCGTCATTTGAAGCCAAAGCCAAAACCTCTAGATGAACGTTTATGTTATATTTGTGGTATTTTAGAAGATGAACAACTAAACACTTCAATTTTGACCCTAATAAGTGGCCTATACATCAAGTAGTTGCTGAATATAGGTCAACGAGATACTAGTGTGCATATATGTAATAATAAAGGCAGTATACTCATTTTGAAAAATCAGATTAATTTTTTTTCATGGGGAGATCATAATGGAGAGCGCACTACTTCCTTTGAACATTTGTCAAAAGTGAAATGCATGCATGAAAACATGTTCAAATTTGTGAATTAATAGTTTTTAAAGCTGTATTCAAGTCAGAATCATTTTGCAGTCTATACAGTACATGTATATCTAAATCATTTTGCAGTATATACAGTACATGTATATCTAAATCATTTTGCAGTATATACAGTACATGTATATCTAAATCATTTTGTAGTATATACAATACATGTATATCTAAATCATTTTGCAGTATATACAGTACATGTATATCTAAATCATTTTGCAGTATATACAGTACATGTATATCTAAATCATTTTGCTGCATTTTCAATTGCTTTAGAGTCTAATCCCCTAAGAGTGACCCCACCATCATGTACAATACATTCTCCATTCATCATTGATGCATCATCAGATGCTATAAATGCTATCATCTTGGCAGTTTCTTCCACATTTCCATTCTTCCCAAGTGGTGTGATACACTGTGTGGCATTTAAATATGCTTCAACTTGCTCATCTGAAGAGTCACCCCTTTTAAAAGAAGGAGTGGGTACAAATCCAGGACATAGGGCATTGACACGGACCCCTACAGCGCCAAACTCTAAAGCTGCACACTTCGTAAACATATTCAACCCAGCTTTTGCAATGTGGTAAAACCCATAGGCATCAGTTGGACGAATTCCATATATGCTGGATATATTTACGATGTTGCCCTGCGTTTGTGTCAATTCTGGGAGGCAAACTTGAGACAGCTGTACTGGTGCCCTCAATAAAACATTGACAGTTTCTTCAAAGGTCTGCATTGTACCAGTAGAAAGGTTATGTACATTTCCACCACCAGCGTTGTTCACCAAGATGTTAATTTTACCAAAAGTGTTCAATGCAGTATCTTTTATTTTCATTATGACATCATCATTAGCGACATCCCCCTGAACGAATGTAAATTTAGCATCTTTTCTTCCTACATCTTTACATTCTTTCACAGTTTCCTCAATTGTTTTTAAGGACCGCCCATGTATAAGAACACTTGCACCTTCTCTGGCAAATAACAATGCAGTGGCTTTTCCTATTCCACTGTTTGACCCTGTGATAATCACGGCCTTGCCTGTAAATCTCATGTTGAAGTTGCACTTTGTGTGGTCTATCCAGTACTGTTAAGATAAAACAATCTTTATGTATTTTACACTGTATTTCATCAATTCAACTGATTTTCAATTATTAACCCGTCCTTGCAATTAATAAATAAAATGTTGATAGATAAAGGGGGTCAATGGCTATATCTGACCACAGAATAATAAATCTAAATAACCTAAACTTCCACCTACATCCCATGATTATCTTCATTACTTCCACTAGAGACTGTTGGGTATCGATCTGAAGTTTTACTTTATGTATTTAATTAAATGATATTATTTTTTGTGTAAAAGTTGTGTAAAAGTCATGAGAATAAGGAGAAAATAGTATTTTAATCCAATCAACCTAAGATATTTCATAAATAATACACATACTAGTTTTATGCATGAAAAAAGGAAATTTTGCAAGGGCAAATCTGAAATTCCTATACCAAAACTGGAAACGGAAATCAACAACAAATTTGTATGAAAGAATTGCTGGTCACTTCAGCCAACTGTAACATGATGGAGTGGGGATGGCATGTCACATACTTTTACTCATTAATGATTGATTGCTGGCAATGAACAGACACTCTACAAATACTTTGCAATTGTAAAAGCTTATAAAAACATTCACATTATGGTAAATCTTGTAATTGCACAGGATTTTCATGAAAATCCGGGATTTTGTAAAATATAGATGTTTTGACGAATTCCATCCACGGCCTGGAAACAGAATACCAATACTATCTATGCATTAAAAATGTTTTTCTTTACATTAAGTCATGAAAGGCACCAAGAGTCTTGTCAAAAGCAATAGACCTAGGCATCAAGACATAAAATTTGAACCAAATCTGTCAACTGGTATTTGAGTTATCAAAGATTAGGTTCTTTAACGAAAAATGGTGGCCATTTTGAAATTCAGCTGCCATCTTGAAAATTCCCTCTTGAATAGATTTTCTGTGTCCCAAGGCATCAGCATCTGAAATTGAACTAAATTTGTCCGTGAACTGGTGTTCAAGTTAATGCCAGGACAAACTAACGAAGTTGAAAAATCTATTTGAAACCAACTTCAGACTTGAAATTGAGACTACCACTTAGCCCACTTAAAATACAGGTCACAAAACAGGTCCTGATACAGATAAACGGTTTATTAATTAAAATTACTGTTTAACATATGGTGTCTGGTCTTTCTAGAATTGGTGTTATAGAGCACTTGTGCTTTATCTAACAGGTGTCAAATACAAGTAGATAAGATTCTCCTCTATTTTCAACACAAAAACAAAACCTATTGTTTTGTACCAAACGAATCCTTTTCAGTATGTGAAAAATGACATTGCATGAAATGTTCATGTTAGTCATATAATGGTGATCAGTTTATAATCTGTTGTCATACATGACTGTTAGAATCTACTAAGTAATCACTATATCACATGTTTGGTAAAATATATCAAGAAAGTCCCATTAGCCTTCACCTCAATAGGGCTATTCTAAAATACTTTGCAAAGATACTTTAGGCATCAGCATATAAAGTGAAATGCATGCATGAAAACATGTTCAAATTTGTGAGTTAATAGTTTTTAAACCACTTTTCGTCAAATTATTGTGAAGCATATACAGTATCTTTAAATCATTTTGTAGCGTCTTCAATTGCTTTTGAGTCTAATCCACAGAGAGAGGTACCTCCATCAAGTACAATACATTCTCCATTCATCATTGATGCATCATCAGACGCTATAAACGCAATCATCTTGGCAGTTTCTTCTACATTTCCATTCTTCCCAATAGGCGCAATACGCCGATTGGCATTATAAAATGCTTCAGTCAGCTCTTCTGTAAAACCAGATTTTTTGTAAATAGGCGTAGGGACACACCCAGGACATAGGGCATTGACACGGACCCCTAGAGCGCCAAACTCTAAAGCTGCGCACTTTGTAAACATGTTCAACCCAGCTTTCGCAATACAGTAAAATGAAACCAAATCGTTTGGCCGAATTCCAAAGATGCTGGACATATTAACGATGTTGCCCTGTGTTTGTTTCAATTCTGGGAGGCAAACTTGAGACAGCTGTACTGGTGCCCTCAATAAAACATTGACAGTTTCTTGAAAGTTCTGCATTGTACCAGTAGAAAGGTTCAGCACATTTCCAGCACCAGCGTTGTTCACCAAGATGTCAATTTTACCAAAAGTGTTCAATGCAGTATCTTTTATTTTCATTATGACATCATCATTAGCGACATACCCCTGCACAAATGGAAACTTAGCATCTTTTCCTCCTACATCTTTACATTCTTTCACAGTTTCCTCAATTGTTTCTAAGGACCGCCCATGGATAAGAACACTTGCACCTTCTCTGGCAAATAACAATGCAGTGGCTTTTCCTATTCCACTGTTTGACCCTGTGATAATCACTGCCTTGCCTGTAAATCTCATGTTGAGGTTGTACTCTGGAATGTGGTTTATCTAGTTCTAATCAGATTAGACACTACATGTATCTAACTGTATTTTACACTTTGTATCCTTGCCTCTTTCATCAATTCAACTGATTTGAATTATTAACCAGTTGATATTTGTATTTTATACTTTCAACTTGTATTCATCAATTCAACTGATTTTAATTATTAACCTGTTGACATTGATACTGAAACATTGAAGGGGCTCAATGGCTATATCTGACCCATATACCTAATTAAATACATCTAAACATGTTCACATGTAAATATTCATACCAAGAAAACAACTAAAACATAAGACCAATCCATCAAATGGTTTGGCTCAAAACATGTTGACAAGAATTTAGGACAGAATATCCATCCAAGATGGCCACCTTAACATTTTCTCAGAATGCCTAAAATTTTACATGAATCCATCCAATGGTTTGGCTTGAAATAAGCAGACAAGACAAGATATTGAAACAGAATATCCAATCCAAAATGGCTGCCTACCCGAACTCTATTCATTTCTCAATTTTAATACAAAAAACATGGCTCAAAACTTCAAATCAATTTGTCAAACAGTTTGGAAATGTGTAGACAAAATAAATGGATTTTTCGAATAAAACCTGCCACCTTTTGGCGCATGATAGATTGGTGATGTCATAGGCTGTACTTTTCAAAACCAAGTTAATGCAGTAGGTGCAATAAGTTTTACCTATTTGTGATTGGACAAAATACAACCTACAGCCAATGACATCATCAATCAAGCCAATAAATCATTGCTTCTTTGATGTACTAAAAGGTGGCAGGGTTTATTGGAAATGTCTATTGGGATGCCCGACTACTCATCTACCTGCCCAGCAAACTAAGGGGTGCAATAACAAATTTGAACAGCTTTGATGCAAAAAGATCTTATAATGATACCGAAAGTAGCTGTTTTGGCATTTCATGGAAGTTTGAATATGAAATGAATGCCAGCATAAAATTCAATGACTGCAATCCTGATTGGTAGCTAGCTGGATTCTCATCAATCTATATTGAATGAATATGGTCCGATCAAGAATGATCTCTAACTGAAAGAGTGAAGATGAAACTCTCTGTTAAACAAGTGAAATCAAATTATTGAAATTGGTAACTCTCTTATCCATAAGATGTTTACAGACACGTGTCAAGTATGAGTATTTTGTATTGTGAGCAATACCTCTTGGCTATATATCCTATATTTACAGCCATACAGCCATTATTTGATAAATGAAATCATGAAAGGTAAACATAGAAAGTGCACTGTCCTGCTTCAAAACCCTCCTACTTCAACATCCTGTTGAAGTAGATAAGGGTCTACTTCTTGAAGCAAGACTAAACGTGCTCCATGGAGATGCCCTGTATTTTATGTGCACTTATAACACCCTGAATAACTTTATCAAACAAATTAATATATAATATCCACTATTTACCTTATTCTGTTAACTCAAAGTGTTACTAAATAGGCTGATCTGTCCAGGGAAAATGCATGTATTTTTCTTACAAGTTTTTTTTTCAATAAAATGTACTTACATCAATATTTTTCTTCTCCGCTGAGCAAGTTGCTATCATAGTAGTCATGCAGTTCCCTCCTAGACTGTCCCTTAACACTGACGTCATCATGGAGTTCCTGTAAGGAATGTGCGATCTTCCTTTCTCAGAGAGGGTCACTATCACCTAAATGAATATAAATCCGTTTGAGATTTCATGCAGCATTTGATATTTTTATATTATTGCTAGAAATCGTGTGATTTGATTGACCAAATCAGTACCATGTGATCAAAAATACTTGAACTATAAAAGATTGCCCGGTTTTTGCCCGCCCGGCAATTCTGACAACTGGACTGAACGATAACTAGACTGGGGAAATTGAACAAGTTCAATTTCAGACTCCAGATGGCTGACCTTTTTTAGCCGAATCATCCGGAATAAGCTGAGTCAACCAGAATAAGCTGAGTCATCCAGAAAAAGATGGATGGATAAAATAGGAAGGTAGGATAGGATAGAATAGGAAGGGACGATAGGATAGAATAAGAAAGAAGGATAGGATAGAATAGAATAGGAAGAAAGGATATGATAGGAAGGATAGGAAGGAAAAGATATACGAAGGAAGGATAGATAGGAAGGATAGGATAGGATAGGATATGCTCAGATAGGAAGGATGGATGAATTTTTTCAATATTTTCTTCTCTACTCTTGACTTTCTATCAGGATACCATCAGATCGATTTTTCCGAAATTTTAAAACGCCATAACTTCCGAACCGGAAGTCGGATCGAAATTTGGTTTGAAGATTCTGATTCCTGACAAAATTCATAACTCATACATTAAATTTGGTGAATTTTTATTTTGACCTACTTTTTGGACAAGCCATAACTTCGGAACTGGAAGTCGGATTGAAATTTGGTTTGCAGATTCGGATTCCTGAGAAAATTCTTTTATTAATTCATAACTCAAACGTTAAATTTGGAGAATTTTTTATTTTGACCTACTTTTGTACACCATATCTCAAAAGTGGATCGAAATACTTTCAGACGGCAAAAGGCTAACACTATTAGCACACTATTTGCTACCTGTATACAAATTTTTGAAGCAAATCATTTAAATGTAGTGTCAGAATAGCAAAAATAAGAATAAACTATGAATTTGACCTAGATTTTGATCTAGGGATTTTGGTGTCCAAATTTTGAAGTTAAGTAGCCTTCGAGGTCCCCTTCTTTCATAGGCTTTCATTATTTTAAGCTGTACTTAGTCTATATCTCGTATTTTACACTTCAAAAAAATCTTTTTTCCCATTGACATAACATGGGGCACCAAATTTAGCGATTTTTAAGCTTTCAAAATGTCATAATTTCCAAACCGGAAGTCGGATCGAAATTTGATTTGCAGATTCGGATTCCTGACAAAATTCTATACTTAATTCATAACTCAAACGTTAAATTTGGAGATTTTTTTATTTTGACCTACTTTTCGGACACCATATCTCAAAAGTGGGTCAAAATACTTTCTGACGGCAGAAGGCTAACCCTATTTACACATTCTTGGCTACATGTATACAAAATTTCGAAGAATATAATTAAAGTGTAGTGTCAGAATCGCAAAAATAAGGAAAAACTTTGAATTTGACCTAGATTTTGACCTAGGCCCTGGACTGGATTTAGACCTAGACTTGACTTCGACCTGGACCAACACTGGACTTTGACCTGGACTGAACCTTGACTTGGACCTGGAAATGGACTGGACTGGTACTTTTTCAATTTTTTTCTCTTTTCTTGACTTTCTATAAGGGTACCATCAGATCGATTTTTCTGGAACTTTCAAAACGTCATAACTCTTGAACCGGAAGTCGGATTTCAATTCGGTTTTCAGATTCAGAATTCTGAGAAAATTTCTTATAAGGCTGATACCCTGGACATTGAATTCGGAGAACTTTTTTTTGGACCTCGTTTTCGGACAGTGATATCAGGAAATTGGTTCGATGAATAAAAAAACTGATAGCACACTTATGAAAGGGCTGTTTCTAAGCTACAAGATGAGAAAAGATGAAGACATTTCGATAAATAACGAAGAAGATAATAGACAGAATGTTACAAATGTAAGATTTGACCTAGTTCTTGACCTTTGACCTAGATAAAAATTTGACCCCATTTCCCACCAACTAGACATAGTACCTTAATTAACCATATAATAGTCTTCATTGAATACTTTATAGTTGTTGAGAAATCGTCCAAAGTATAATAAGAAAGAAAGAATAAAAAAGTCTTTGGTCTCATTGAAATAACATGGGGGACGAAATTTAGCGATTTTGAGATTTCAAAACGCCATAACTTTTGAACCGGAAGTCGGATCGAAATTTGATTTGCAGATTCGGATTCCTGAGAAAATTCTACCTTTAGTTCATTGGTCATATGTTGAATTTGGAGAACTTTTTGTTTTGACCTACTTTCTGGACACTATTTTTCAAAATCAGTAAGAGTAATCAAAAAACGGATAGCACACCTATGAAAGGGCTGTTTCTAAGCTACATGATAAAACAAGATGAAGACGTTTCGATAAATAACAACGAAGATAATAGACAGAATGTTGAAAATGTAAGATTTGACCTAGTTCTTGACCTTTGACCTAGATAAAAATTTGACCCCATTTCCCACCAACTAGACATAGTACCTTAATTAACCATATAATAGTCTTTATTGAATACTTTATAGTTGTTGAGAAATCGTCCACAGTATAATAAGAAAGAATAATAAGAATAAGAATAAAGAAAAGAGGCAAAAACAATAGACTCCAGATTTTCATCTGGAGTCTAATAAAAGTGGACTATACAATGATACATTGTAATTATCTTAACTGATGAGTTTATGGTATATTTATTGATTAAAATAAATGTTGATGGGTTTAAACAAATATTCTATATTTCTTTGAAATGCAAAGTGATCATAAAGAACGTCTAACAATGATTTAATAAAACAAATATTTCATTCAATGTTCAGGCAATACCTGTTGCACTTTCAATGATTTTTGCAGCATGTATTTCTCTAGCCCTACGGGCTGTGGGCAATACATATTGCCCTCCATCGAATGAAATATCTAATGAATTTACATCTGAACCACAAAATTCTGTGCAGTATCAGGGAATGACTTTTAAAAGTATATGACTGTATAAAAATGGCCGCTGCCTTTGAATTGACAAATTTGCCAGATTCTGTATTAAATATCAAAGCATGAGTGCCCAGGGAGAGGATCAAAAACTGTAAAGAAACCTAGCAGGAAAAGCAAACTAAGTTTAGTTTCTAAAAACCTTTAAGGAAAATAGACCATACATATCCAAAAACCATGATCTAACATGAAAAGAAATAATGTTTAACACCCCCTTCCCACTTGCATATACATGACACACTACTTGTAAAATATGCATTTAATATAAAGATGGTATATTCTACTCAATCTACCTTAATTTAGTTGGACTCACCTGTTCCAGAAAATGCAGAGAAAGGTTGATATATTTGGCTTCAGCAAGTAATGTTCCCGCCACACCTGTCTTCGCCACCCTCTCTGAACTAAAATATACAAGTCCACGTATACGAGCCATAAAATCATAAAGTTAATGTGTATAAGCCTTAGAATTTTAGAGTTATCATAAATGAACCTTAGAATTTGAAGGGTAATAATACAAGCCTTAAAATAATGAATAAATTACTGTTTTTATCAACATGGGCCATGTAATAATTGAAATCATTACCCTGCAAGATCCACCAGGTGGAGCTTTGATCTGCGTATACTTGCACCGACAGCCTGACGTGATGATACATGGATGGTAAAGATGCAATGGGATCTTGTGGATGCCTGGTTCATAGGAGTCTACAATACAACAGAATGAGAGCCCAAATCAAAGTAGGTTAGGAGAATCAAAAACAACCTATTCAAGCATTTCTCTTTCTTGGAACTTTAACAATGTGGAATGGATGTGTTAGATGGCTGAATCATTTGGGTTCAAAATGTAAAAATAAGTGAGGGTTTAGAAAAACAACAAAGATGATAGGTAAAATAAGAGATTCAAGATTCTCCGGCTGACAGTAATGTTATAATACCGAGACAACTGGGTCGAAGACAACACAAAAAATGTTTAAAACTTTTTGATCTTTCCTTGTATTACTTAGCTTAACAGGTCGCATTACAAAGAATCGATATGAGACCATCGCATAGCACTAGGAAGCACAACATTTGTCAAACTTAACTAAATCCCTACAATTCATAAGAACTGTCAAAACCAATAGCCTACCTCAGCAATCATTCTGTTTGTATCACCCAGGAATAGCAGATTAAGAGCCTCCTCCTCATTGTTGGCTTGATGCGTAGAAAGATTTTTCAGATGAATATTTTGGTCACTGTCCTCCATAAGATGTACCTTCCTGGTGTAGAAAATGAGTTATTAGTACATATCTACCATTTGTACCTTTTTAGCTGGTATCTGCCCTCTGACTAATCATTTTATAGTTTTGAGTTCAATCAATCAGACAGCAATATTTTTTCTGAATTGATACATAGGAAAATTTCAGCATAGTTCAAAACCCATAATCATAGAATTTTTAAAACAACAGTTCTGTTCTTAACAAATAATTAAAGTTCAATGACCCTGACCGAACGCAGTAGTAATTTAGTGTTTAGGTAAATATAACTGAAACCTGTTCAAGCACTTGGAAATAATTCGTTGTCAATTAATCGACTAAACAAAAAATTATTCCAACGTCAAATCGAGTCATTGCTATTAACTCAGAGAATCCTCAGGAATTTTTAGAGTATAATGACTACACTTACGGCAAATCTTCAAGTTTTGATGATTCATGTTTTGGATCCAATAAGTCATAGCCACTTTCATTGTATATCTCTAAGTAGGATATGTGGCAAGTGTAGACATAATCTGGATTCTGGAACAGAATAATATGAATTTGATTCTATATATAGAAACCCAATAGGTATAAGAAGAAACAGTGGTTCAGTGAACCAGTATCTAGAAAATGAAATAGGGGCACTATTTGTTACTCTGTATTGTATCAGTTTGTTTATTAAATTTACTCAGAGCAGTTGAACTAAATGTTCTTAAATCTACATGAAAATGTATTTCTTATACAGTCTCACTTCAATTAGAAGCACATGTCAGTGCGACTGAAATCATAAATATCAACACACATACAGAATAATTAGATAATCATGAATTTTGGATTACTAATATTCTATTTAGGAATAAGATTACCAAATGAAGCAATACCATGAGCATGGAGCATTTAAACAAAAACTTACTCCTGTAATTAATAAACAGGAAAAGCAAAGTGCATACCTGCTCAAACTGTTGGAAGATATAGGAGAGAGTTCTTGGGATGATACCTCTGTCAGCATACTTCTCTGGACCTCCTGTGATTGTAAATGTTTTCCCACTTCCAGTCTACAACAGTGCAGAAACAAATTAAGCATTTAATAGACTTTTGTAATAAAATAAACAGGATTTCAGTTATTTTCAAAAAATTCATGATGAGATAATTTTTAAGAATTGTAAGAGAATTACCTGTCCATATGCAAAGATTGTGCCATTATACCCAGAGAGTACACTGAAAAAAAAAGTCAGTCAATAAAATAAACACATTGGTTCTGAAAGTAAGTGTTTGACCACAATTTTGTTATTCGAGTTGATGTGAAATAATTGCCAAAGGGGCTGCCAAACATGTCAATAAAAAAATTAATTTATTTGACCTTTGTGGCCTGATAAAAAGGTCTTATGAGATATCTGTCATGTACACGCGTGATGTAGCGCACTGATTTAACTGATAAAAGTCATTATATTTTTAAATAACAGTAAATACCACAAACTGCAAGTAGATGCAGTCTATGGTTATCCAACATGGTTTTCTCATACCAATGTAATATTTTATTTGAATTGTCTCATAGATCAAACTTCATTTGACAGGGTTCTAACAACATTTCCACAATGAAATCCCCTGACATTATTTTCCTGGCACATTTCATTATTTCAAAGGACAAGGTGCAATTATTGGCAAATATCCCTATGGTCAAAATGAATCATTCGTAGGTGTAACATGAAGAATAAAATGTCATATAATACTTTGGAAAATATTAAAGTGCTCGGACACACATAAGCTGAGATGGGGATCATTTTGTTCAGTAAGGTTGTATTGACTTACATGGGGCTGTGCACCATTGACTTAACATGAGGATATCAGAAGATCCCAATAGAGGCCATTGGTTTCCATTGATTATCACAGAAAACAAAAATACACTATGACCTGAATCGATTGCAAACTTAATAATTTCACAATACGACACAAATGGTTTATCTCATCAAATGTGCAAATATGAAGTTTGCAATCGATTCAGGTCATACTTAAAATTAAAAGATTGTACATTTTTTCATCATTTTTTTCCCTACAAAATGGCTATATAAATGTAATAATTGAAGCAGAATACTCATTTTGAAAAATCAGATGAATTATTTTTTTCCATGGGGAGATCCCAATGGAGGGTGTATAAGGTCCTTTCTTGACATTAGTCCCATTTTAGCTTAAAATATCCATTATATTCAAGGTCTGAAGAAACCCAAAATGTTTGAAATAAATTGATTAAATTATATTAATCCTTTTATATTTATTCATATCTCTTATTGGTTTTACTTACTTATCAACGACTGGTTGTCCGACATGCTCAAATACCTCTTCCTGTTTTGTTTTCTGATCAAATACTCGTTGAAACCTGAAATTGTGTGAATTGTGAATCTATAGATCATGCTTCAAAGCAAAACACAATAAATTGAATACATCAAGTCAATATGTTATCCCTCCCCTATACAGTGTTTATAAACATAGTATGGGGGAATATAAGATGGAGGAACATCAAAAATTATTCTGGCTCAGATTCTCTCCAGATTTTCTTGCATGATACTTTGACCTCCAAAGTTTGTGAAGCTTGTGAACAAAATAGCAAAGAAGTAAAAAATACGACTGGCTTAGAACAAGAGTATAGAGTAGAAGCAATGAGATAGTTGTGGTGAATGAATAATTGAAAAATAAATTTAAAGAAGGCAGTGTTAATAGATTCAGTACTGATCTTACAGTTACTGTAAAGAACACATACCACGTTTCTTTACATTGCATCCTCCAATATATTCAGGTGTCTATAACTTTACTAAGATCACCTGAAATATGTTTCAAACTCACCTGAATTTATAGTTTTCTTTCTTATTATTGACTAGTCCAACAGCAAGATCTTTAGGTACGGTGAAGGTAAGCCTTGGAGATCCACTGTCATCTTCATCTATTTCATATAACTGAAATCAATCAATGTACAAGGGTCATCCAAAAAGTCATTAAATGTACAAGGGTCATCCAAAAAGTTATGAAATGTTTGCTGTAATTCAAAATGTATGTCAAAACAAAATAATCCAGTGAAAATTTCCCGGCACAAATACAAAGGCAAATTAATATAATATATTTGGAGATAACTGATCACCTGTTCATAAAAGACGAGGAGAAAGACAATGAACCAATAACGCAGATGCGAGTAAGTAGTTACCAGTTTCACCACCAGGTGGCTCGTTCGGGTCAGATAGTATGGCGGGTATAGTAGAAAGTTCCCTTTAACTTAAATTACATCTGTTTTAGTGGTTCAATTTTCATATAACCCTTATGTATCTAATTGTTATGTAAATTAAAATATGTCCAGTAAAAGAAAATGTTATCTGTCCAATACAAGAAAAGATATTTCACTTTTTGTGTTTTGTAACATGGGGTCTATGGGGAATCAACCCAAACTAGAAGTCAAATTTTCAAAGTTGATAAACAATTTTCGAAACCATATTTTCTAGATGTACTTTTACATGTAGATTTCAAATATGACATCACTTTGACTGAATTTTGAATATATAATGACGTAAATCAAGATTATTTCTACTCGCATCTCGTCTATTAAACTACATGCTTGTTTTGTTGTTGGTTAGGTAACATGTTAAATGACGTCACAAATTTATCTAGAGCCAACAGTGACATGTGACATTTAGATTATTTGTTTGTTTAGTTCTTGAACAGGCAATATATGACTGGTGTCACAGATGATCATCATTTCGAATAATGACTAGATAGTTCCCTTGAGGATTTGCCATAGAAGCTTTTGGCAGAAATTCACTGCGAAGGATTTTGCTGCTAAGGAGGACAATTACATCAAAATGTTCCATCTTGTAGGGTCCTCTTTCGAACTTCCCCATTTGGGGTTATTTCATCATTGGGCTATTTCCCCCATGGGGCTATTTTGACATTTTCATGCTCATTTTTGAGTGGTAGCTGTTTCAAAGCAATATTTAAATGTTTTATGACATTTTGGCTCCCATGTGACTTTTTACTGGCCTCCACGTGGCCCGTTTTGGTCGACTGAATCATGACATCATAATTCCAAGATGTTTTGTAATTTGTTTACATAACAATCTTGCGGTTGCTATAATATCACAATAACTATAACATCAATAAACCGGAAATCTAAATTTCTGACTGATCAGTTTATTTTATTATTATGTTGTTATTAGTTATGTCCTGACCCCCCCCCCCACCCCCTTCTTACGAAAGTCAAAATGTTGAGGATTTTGATTTGCTTCATTCATTAACGATTTTCTATCACCACCCGACCTAGTCAAATACATGCCTACAGTTTTTTTATAGTTAGAATTTTTATGATTTGCTTTATGAATGCATATGTTGTTACCTAGAACGTTTCCAAATAGATTCAGTTGGAACATTCACTTTTTAATAGGCGATGCCATTGTGGAAATGTCAGGATGTATTATAATGAACGAAAAGTGAATGCAGAAATTGCAATAGACGAAACCAAGGGAAACTGAAAATCGATGTCTGTCACCTAATTAAATAGCGTTTTACCACGTCCCCCTAACGTAATTAATTATGTTGTTTGACAGACATCGATGTTTTGACTCGGCCTCTTAGACTAGTTATTTGTCATTTCTTTCAGATATCACGAGAACTCTAATGCAGAAAATCACATTTTTGTAGATGCTAACTGTGAAAACCTCTAACAGTTGTCCTTTATTCAAGATGGCAGAACCCGGAAATTTTAATTATCGACCATGTCGAATTGAACCCATGGCCGAAGTAGCTCCAGGATGAAGTAATACCAATTACACCATACATTGAAGTTTGACAGAAGCCTGCCATGCTTCTAATTTAAGATGTGTTACTTTGTTCCCGATTGAAACATTGCTGTGAATATTTATTCTGAAGTTGCATAAATTATAAAAACAAAACAAACAAACAAAAAAATAGGCACAAATTGTGCCTATTTTTCCTTACTTACTCCAATTTTGGCCTTAGTTGGTTTCACTCGAGAAAATATTTGTATCGTCTGTTTCACCATATTGTGTGTTGTTTAGTTCTGCATGGAAATAGTCATATTATCGATGAACTATCGAGTAAATTAATACTAAAGGCCTTCAAGTAAGAAAATGTTTTGGAATTTCACCATTTTGAACTTAGAAGTGAATAATGTTCTGCCATCTGATTGATCAATGATCGGCAACGCGCCATCTATTATGATAAATAGTGAGTTACATGGAACTAGAGAGGTTGACAATTTCAAAATAAATGTCAATTTCCTTAATCGACCCGTTACAAAATACTGCTTCATACGTGCAGACATAAAGAATACAACGTTAATCACCCGTAGGAGCCGACAAATCTTCCAATATGGTATGTATGAGACTGATTTTTAACTTTAAATTGATATTGAATTTTGAAAATTCAAATGATCCTGAATTCAATTTTGACCAATACTGGACAAGCCGGATGGTTAATAAGCTTTGAGTATTAGATTGAACTACTATACTGTGTGTTTAGATAATATTTAATAAAATGGTGGAGTGCTTATGTTTCTGCTCTGATTTCAGGAAAATTTAGACTCAATCACTTGTTTATTTACATTTTGAAGTCAACTAGATTTATATTAATGTGCCACGCCCACTTTCTCTTTGGAACTCAATATAAAATCTATACAGATTTCTAGATCTGCAGTGAAGTCTGTGTTATTGACACGAAGATTATGATTTTCCTTCCCATGTCCATGTAGCTAGGATCATGTTCAAGTCAATCTGCATGTATAAAGCCGTAATCTGCATATGGCTCCTGATATGGCGAGGATCAGCTTGCTAGAATCATAGCTGACTATGTACTTTATATGCATATACTTAGAAAAATCATGGGTTTTCAATAGATTGAATGCCCAAATAGATTGATTGAAATAAGAACTGAAATTAGGACCCCCCCCCTTATGGTTCCCAAATCCCCCCCCCCCCCTGAATTATCACATGATCCACAAAGAAAAAATCTGTAAATATGTCAAAGAGAACAAATGAATGAAAAAATAATAAATTATATTTTGTGAATATTTTGAACCAAAAGTACTAAATTAAAATTACATTTATAAATAAAATCCAGGGATGTGTAAAATCAATAAATAAACAGAGATTGTAAGTCTTAGGGCAAAATTTTAATTGAATTATATTATTGCATTTTAATTTTGCATGTATTACCTGAAGCGATTCACCTCTGAATTTTTACGAGAAATATTACATTTCTATTTGCTGTTTTGGTGTTCTTTTTCTTAAAAATCTGTCATTTCAGTCTTTCATTTATTCATTTCAACAAAATAAACATTACTTTCTTTTGTCTTATCACAAAGTCAGAAAATCAAATGAGATCATAGAAGCAAAATAAAGAACTGTTTCTAAACCTGTATTTTTGAAAACTTCTTCATACTTCAACAAACAACTCTCTGCAAGATTTTAAAAATTGGGCCAATAAAATCTGTTTATGCAAAAACTATCAATTAACAAAGCATTTTCTTTTATCTATGAAAACCCCTCTAATTGTTTGATATATTAGCTGTAAGGAATATTAAAAGTTACAAAGTACTTTTTTATATTTATAGATGGTGCTGTCGTAACTAAAAAATAAACTGCTCTCTGTTTAGAAATAAATATATTCTCATTTGCATGCAGTCAGTAATTACAGGTCAGTGGAAAGTGCTCCAAATAAGGAAGTGTTCCATTAATAGACATATTCCGCATCACAAGTTTTACTGTAGTTCAAACCTGATTATCTTTGATTGGCATAAACTAATATGTGTCTGTGTTCCATATGTCTAACCAGTCTGTTATTATAATTTTCCCAGTTATCACCAGATATCCTTTCGCTCTGCTAAAATAAACTCTGAAAGAGAATGAAAACATATAATTTCATCGAGTCTGAATTTAATTGATTTGGAAATTGGGACAAATCAGTTATTGCCAGTTATCCTTAAAACCAATTCATCAAACAAGTCAGAACTCTTTGACTCTTGGAATAAGAAAAAATAAGTGCAACAAGGAAAGGAATGCCATGAGCAAAAATGATTGTAAAGCTGTGGCAGTTTTCAAAAGTTTGCCCTCTCCTACCCTCTACTATCATATGTTGCCTAGTACCATAACCTATTAGGGTGCTTTTCTGAAACCCATTAATTAATATTGAGACTTCCTGTATACCATGTGAAACCCCAAATACCATCACTATGACAGAACTATTATAATCCTAGATTATCACAGTCGTAACTGTGCCATAATTTGATTACATCAATGTGTAGAGTTGATTGCTATTTTTAATTAGCAAACATACCAACTGTATATATAAGAATTACAAATATTTACAAACTATAATTTACTGGTATTTGAGATCCTATTATAATGCCATGTGTCTAAATATATAATTGCAAACTAATCAAAATAAGCGTTCGCTGAAAAGAATTGGATCTCCACATTCTGTTATTAGGAATCAATTTGAGTAAAATGCTCTTCTTGTATTTTGTCGTAAATTATTTTATGTTATTTCCCTTCTTGTCACTCTGTGCCTCATGAAAATCTTGATATTTGAAAGAGTGAAAGCCTTGTCATATCATGAAAATGAAAGATTTCAGTTGAATTTTTGACATTTCAGTGAAATTGATATTTCAGTGAAAACGTTGATATTTCAGTGAAAAATTGATATATCAGTTAAATTATGAAATATTTTTGCTAATTTTGACGTTTCTAATTTGTCTAGATTGGAATGAATAAAAATTTTACCAATAGAACTTAAACATGTCACAAATAAGTATTTAGCTTTGAAATCAAAGAAAGGAGTTGGGTAAACTAGCAACAGAGAGTGCCCCAATTGAAGTGTGAAAAAACTTTTTTTAAGAATAGGAGAAAAAAACATTAGAAATGCATAGATTGAAGTCTATATTTTTGGGTAGTATTTTTAAAAAAATTTAGAAAAAATTGTTACGGTGTCTGGAGACCTTCAAAGAGGGTGGGGGCCAGAAGGAAAAAAATTCACATATTTTACAACCCTCTTGATGAATTCCAATTTACTCAGCTATGAATGAATGTTTTTGATTTATCTGTCCAGGATTATGTAAATATATATTTATTTGATCCATACATACAATTGATTTAAACAATATGTACAGTTTAGAGGTAAGTAAAGCTTTGAAAGGACATTTCATGCTGAGTCTGGGTGACATTTTTATTCACTGGAGGTAGTAATCCTTTGAGTGTTTTCACATAGAGCATAACAAGTCTCCACTCTAATAAGTGCTTCTTTAGTTACATAAATGTTATATTGTTGCATACAAAGAATAATTTTGATGGAGACTTATTATGCTCGATGTGAATTTTAGAACTTTATAGAAAATTTTGCCTGCCATTTTTGTTGATTATTCAAAATGGCCAAATGCTATTCATGCTGCATATGTAGGAAGCAGGTAAATTCTCCTAGAAAACGGAGAAAGGTTACAGAAGATTTAGCTTCACAAGTCAAGACTATTGCAACTAATAATAGAAGTGATATTGAGGTAATATAAGCTTGATTTGGGAGGAGATTGTTGTGATATTAGGTTGATATCAGAACTTATATTTTTTGATATTGCTTATGTAATGGCAATATGTTGGTAATTGGGCAGATATAAAGTTAATATTGGATTGATATTTGTCAGAAATTGCTATCGAATTGGGCTTATATTTGGGTGATATTGCTATAATATTGGGCTAATATTTGGGTGATATTGGATTGATATTGGGCCAATATTTGCTTGATATTTGGGTGATATTGCTATCACATTGGGCCAATATTTGGGTGATATTGGATTGATATTAGGGTGATATCGCTATCATATTGGGTCCATTATTTGGCTCATGTTTGGCTGATATTGGATTTACAGTGGGATATTATTACAATCAGAATAATTGGGTGATATTTGGTAAATAAGAGGGGTGATATTGGACTGTTACTTAAATAATATGAGGCCAATACTTGGGTTATTTTGGATTGATATAGAGTGACATTTGATTGACAATTGGTTGATGTTGCTATGATATTAGGACATTATCTGGGTCATATTTGGGCGATATTGAATTGGGTGATATTGCTATTGAATACATATATAGAGATTATATAATGGGAGGGATGGAATATGAATTTTATCCTGAGGGAAAATATGATATTGGCAGAGGAAAATCATGAAATGTACATTCTGAATTTAAATGAATTAAAAATAATAAAGTATTTTCATTATTTTAGGTACTTTTGTTCTCTTTCAGTGTTGCGTGGGAAGGGCGGAATATATTAATATAAATATCTCATTATTGGCAAATTGCCAATTTACTATATATTGTAATTCCAACCTCTATGAGACTAAATTCCTAATGATATTTGTGATATTTTAACCAAAAAGGTATATTTTGGTAGAAAATAATGAATTTTTTAATTTGACCTTGACCTGGGGAATATGACCTTGACCTAAATTTTCATACATTTTTGAAACACATATATCACATAGATTAATAAAATAAAGAGAAAACTTGAAAATCAGGTGGGGCTTAAAATGGCCTTGTTTACCCAACTCCTTTAAAATGGAATTCACCATGTGAAAATACAGTATCCTGTAGGAGAACTCTACAAATATGTGTTCATTTACAAGAAACAAATGGCCAATCATTGATTATTAGGAAATGTCATTGTCACCTTTGTGAAATAATTTATGCAGGAATTATTTCCAATATTTCATATTGTTCAGTTCTCGTTTGCGGCTGTGACTCATGCTGAACCCATCAATAGTACAAGAGCATAATATTAGACATCTGTGCATGAAATATTAATGCTATCAAAGCTAAGAAAGAAATGAACGGAGATGTGCAGAAGTATGAATTCAGAAAATAAGCTATGAAAATCCCTCTTGCATGATCCTTTGGAAAATCGATGTTTTGTGTATATATTCAAGAATACGGTTTTAATAAGTAGGATAAAGGAGGTGTTTTATGTACAGACTCTTTCTGCTCATAGACGATAATGCCACATGGCAATATTGGTCTCAGTTCATCTATTATAGATGCTTAATTCTGAAGCAGACATTCAAGAAAAAAGCAATTTTTCTATAGAACAGTTCCTTTTTTAGTGCATCTAGTAAATAGCTGAATGTACAAAATCTTTACATGATTCATTCAAGGATTATTTTATGTCAACAGTCACTTATTCAAATTGGTATAACAATTTAGCAAAGCATAAAAAAGGATTATAACTGTGAATAGATTTATGGATGCTATGCTTATATTGCAAACAGAAATAGTGATTTCTGGCTCAGAGAAGTAGTTAACACATTTTATGACATTTCTTGGGTTAAT